ACGATGGCCCTCGAGACCAGAAGAACTAGATGGTGCCTGGCTACCAATGCCAACCACTCAAGAAAGGATCAAATCTAGAGATCCTATATAGAGTGGGAGGGAAAACGTGGAACAAAATCCAAAAACTCAATAATGACCAGAATTACAGGTCAGATGAAATCTGATGAGAACCCCAATACTATGGCCCTGGAATACATTCTGCACCTGGAATAAAACATACCCCCAAGGGCTCGCTCTCAGCCCAATAGTTAACAAGATGCACATGCAGACCACTCAACCCAGTATGAAGCACCCACATACTCTATGGTAGTACATCCCTTAGAGCAATAGACTTCAGGGCACCAGAGGACCAACATTCAAATTGAGGAAATACAGGACAAACAAGAGTGCATGAATAGGAGGGGCATGGGGGAAGGGTTACAGTGCAGGGGTGGGGAGGAGACTGGGTTAGGGTTGGACATCACAAATGCAGAATGAAACTAAAGTAAATGTATGCTTAACGATGAATGTAAAACAAGCTATTGAAAAAAAAAAGGAACATCAGTATATTATTTAAAAATATGGCAGAAGTAAAAGAAGTACTGAAAATATTAAAATATTTTATTCAGGGAAGTAAGAATCAGGAATGGGGTGGGAATATCAGGACGTTGTTATTTTATCTCCTAAGGAGCTCTGGTAGCATAGTGCCTAAGTCACTTGACTGCTAACCAGAAGGCTGGCGGTTCAAACCCACCAGCCACTCCTCAGAAGGAAGATGGGGCACTCTACTTCCGTAGTGATACTGCCTCGGCAACCCAAGGAGAGGTCGCTATGAGTCGGATCTGACTCGATGGCATATAACAACAACAAACCTGTTAAAGCCATTTGATTTTTTAAAAATATGTTGATGTAAATGTGAAATGTAAATTATAAAACAGAAATTAACTTTGTTAGTATGTTGCTTTCTAAATATGCCATTTTAAAAAGCCATTCTACTAATTTCTATTGCTTACAAACTACATTAAATTCAAGGAAATTAAATTAAAATGTGTATTAAATCACCAAGAGAAAACTTTAATCCATGTGAATAGACAAAGCCAAAACCAACCCCAAATTTGAGTTTTATCATTGTAAGAAATTCTTTCAGGAGATGAGGTTGTCATTTTGTTGCTACTCTCTTTTAGCCAGTAAAAATACTTCTGCCTTAGGCTATGTGTGCTTCATATCCTGGATTTTATTCTCCCTGTAGGTATTATCCGTTCTGGATACATGATAATTAAAATGCACAAGAACAGATGTTGTTAGGTCTCAGTCAGTCACTGAGCAAATGTTTAGCTATGTCATAACCTCCAGTAACTTTGGATGAATATCACAAGACTGGTGCATTCATTTACTAGGGCTGTCATTACAGATTACTAGACCTGGGGGCTTGAGACAACAGAAATTTGTTCTTTCATAGTTCTGGAGGCCAAGAGTCCTGTATCAAGGTGTCTGTAGTATTGTGCTTCCTTTGGAAGCTCTGGGAGAGAATGCTCTTTTGTCTTGTCTGGCTTCAGGTGGCTCCAGGCAGTCCTTGACTGTGGCTGTTGTTGTTGTTGTTATGTGCCGTCGAGTCAGACCTGACTCATAGTGACCCCTCCTTGGGTTTCCGAGGCGGTATCACTACGGAATAGATTGCCCAACCTTCCTTCCAAGGAGTGGCTGGTGGGTTTGAACTGCCAGCCTTCTGGTTAACAGTCAAGTGCTTAGGCACAACCCTAATCTTGCCTCTGTCTTCACATTGGTTCCAAGTTTATTGTGTACCAAGGAATGTTTGAAAGGTAATGAAAGAAGTGAAATAGATTTGTTGTTATTGTTGTTGCTGTTGTTGTTAGGTGTCGTTGAGTCGTCTTTGACTCATAGCAACCATATGTACAACAGAACGAAACACTGCCTGGTCATGCACCATCCTCACAACCCTTGGTATACGTGGACCTTCATTACAGCCATTGTGTCAATCCATCTTGTTGAAGACCTTCCCCTTTTTCACTGACCCTCTGCTTCACCAAGCTTGATATCTTTCTCCAGGGAGTTGTCCCTTTTGACAACATGACCACAGTAGGTGAGACAAAGTCTGGCCATACTCTCTTCCAAGCAGCATTCCAGCTATGCTTCTTCTAGGGCAGATTTGTTTGTTCTTCTGGCAGTCCATGGTATTTTCAAAATTCTTCACCAACGTCATAATTCAAAGGCATCAACTCTTTTTTCGTCTTTCTTATTTTTTGTCCAGTTTTCATATACATATGAGGTGACTGAAAATAGTGTAGCTTAGGTTAAGCACACGTTAGTCTTCCAAGTGACATTTTTGCTCTTTGACATTTTAAAGAGGTCTTTTTGCAGCAGATTTGCCTGGTATATCATCTGATTTTCTGACTATTGCTTCCACGGGTGTTGATTATGGAAATAGATTTAGAATAGTCTAATACTTTAAAGAATACTTAATTAAGAAGAATCATGGAATTTGGAAAGGGCGCTAAGTCAAAGTCACTGTGTATACCTTGTGGCAATTGAACTTGAGTGATTTGCTTGATGTCATGTGTCTGTTTATGACAGATAAGGAACTTGAGGATTCTAACATCATTCTATTAATTTCCACTATTCTCTTGTCATTGTTACCATGACAAATGCATTTACTTGGATGTCTTAAGCATGTATGAGAACAAATGCATCCTCAAAGCTTAAGAATATTTACATTTGTAGAAACTAAATAGTATTTGAAAAGCAGGTATTCGTGTCAGTGACAGATGCTTCCCTCCCTCTCCTTGGATTGATTATGAAGAGATCAGTTCATCATACTCTTGAGTCTCCATTTCTTGGATTGACCATCACTTGTTTAGACATCTCTTAGAGATAACTTTTTATCAGTCTTTATCAGAATCTGTAAAGTCTTTCTCTTCCAATTTCAAGGACGCCAGGTCTAAAACTCCTTCTGGCCCAACTCTTAGCCTGTCTCTTCAAGAATGGTGAGGGTGAAGAATCTTCCCGTTGTATGTAATTCTGTTCTAGTTCATTAATTAAGGCCAGATACAATTTCAGATTGCCAGTTGATGGGACAGAAAGATAAATAGATAAGAGAAAGAGATTTGTACCTATGTATCTAAATTTATCTTTTTTTAAAATTGTGATTTGGGTAAAAGTTTACAGAGCAAATTCATTTTCCATACAGCAGTTCATACACATTTTGTTTCATGACATTGACCGCAATTCTTCATAATGTAACAGCTCTCTTTCCATTTCCTCCCTGTATTATCTTCCCTCTGTTTTTCTTACCCACGCATTTCTGCCCCTGAGCTGTCTCCCCATGCAGCTGCCCTTCTGTTCTCCTATGACTGATCACTTTAAGGAGGGTATCTACTGATGTAAATGTTCACCCTGTATGCCAATCTATTGTTTGGCTGGAAGCCACAAGAATGAGTTCAATTCCAGACCTGAAGGGTAACTAAGGGTCATAGTCTTGAGGTCTCATCAGCCTCTATCAGACCTGTAAACTTGATATTTTTTATGATTTTGAGTTTTTTTCCATACTCTTCTCTCTGTCTCTCTAGCATCTCCTGCACTAATCCCTTTTTGAGTGGTTGACAGTGGTAGCCAGGCACCATCTAGTTCTTCTGGTCTCATGGTCATGTAGGCTGAGGTTCACATGGTCCACTAGTCCCTTGGAGTAATTGTTACCATGTACCTTTGGTTTGCTTCATTCTTCTTTGCTCTGGACAAGGAGAGACCCCATAGTTGCATCTAATGGGCCACTTGCAAGCTTTTAAAACCCTGGTTGCTGCTCATGAAAGTAGGATGTAGAACAATGTTTTGTGTAGTGTTATGCCAATTGAGCTTGATGTTCCCCTGACACCATGGTCCCAAGCCCAAGGGTCCAACAACTCACTCTATCAGGGTAGTTGACTGTACCTAAGAAGTTATCGTAACTTTGCCCCATTAGTTCTATTTATACAGACATCCTTACAGCACATACAAATACATATGTAGAAATATCATCTGCCAACTTTATATATGGTCAAGGCTATATTCCCTTTTGCCTGGACATACCTGATCATTCAGCCTGTCTACCCATCTACTTACTGTAGATTGTTTGTTATGATAACACAGTATTGAACATGCAAAAGGATTTATCTCTGCTGTCTGTACCTCTTGTGCACCTCTCAGTGTCTTCCTTTTCCTTAGCTATCTTGCTTTTCAAGGACTTTAATATCATAGGTTTTTCTTTATTTTTATATATTAAAAAAAAACTTGCTACAAACACCATTTTAATAAAATTGTCTTGTCATACTCTCCCAACTGTTTGTATCTACCATAATTTGCTAACCAGTGATATATTGTTAGGCAATTGATGCCACCTTCCCCTTTAGCCACATATTTTCAAGTAAAGCTTTGCCCGTATTTCAAAATATTTCCTTAAAATAGTATACCAAAGTACAATTATAAGGCCAAAGGTTATAAACATTTTTAATATTCTTGACACTTATTGCCAAATTGCTTTGCAGAAAAGCTGGTCTTCTTTTCTTTTGGAGTTAATCCCAAGACAATTCTGTGTAGCAAGAGAAGGAAATAAGGCCTTGTAGAGCAAGGGGAGCGTTGATGTTCAACTACCACAAGCGAGGAGGAACTGGACATGAATATTTCCTTGGGAAAAAGCTCAAGGTCATGTACAGTGCTTACATAGCCTGTAGGTAAGACTAGTTCCTAACCTTTAAATGCAACATAAGGTTATGTTGCATTTAAAGGTTGTCTGTTCCCTTGTCTGTTCAAGTCTTAACCAGAAGGCAGCTCTATCTGCTCTGCTCTTGGGGATGTTTCTGCTGACCTGTACATACTTGAATGTTTAGTTCAGAGATAGGTTACAATAAACTCTTGTCACTTGAAAATAAACAGTCTGGACAATGTTCTGCCCATTTGGAGGACTGAGAAAATAAACAACTTAGGGTCCAGTTCCTCCTGGTCATTGCAGCCCATTTTGGAACGTGTGCTCTAACTAGTTCATTTTCTTCCCAAGCAGAAGGTTTTATTTAAAATAAAGCTGTTTATCTGGCACTTCTGGGTGACCCTTTTTAAGAAACCACAGCAATGGATGGCTTTGGAGCCCTGCTTCGAAGAAACCAGTTCATCTTCCTGGTGCTTTTTCTTATGCACATTCAGAGCCTGGGCCTGGACATCGATGGCCGCCCCACCACTGATGTCTGTGCTACCCACACAATTTCGCCAGGACCCAAAGGTGAGAAAAGGGAGACAAAGTTCCCACCTATCATAAATAGGCTCTGTTCCCTCATCCCACGACCCCACCTGAGCTTCTCTCTTCCCTCTTTAGCTTTTTCTCATTTCCCTTCTTTTGGAAAAGCAATGGCTTGTTGCTTATTGAAAGCTTTCCCGGTTGGGGTGGATCTGAGGGCAGGGATGTGAGGAAACTCACAGGGCAGGGGGAAGTCCTCCTTCCATGCTGCTGTTGGGGAAGGCACACAATCAAGGCATTCGTCTTTAGGAATCTTTCTTTAAGAGCATCTCTGCTCTTGGCTATTTTTATTCCAACTCATTTCTCATACTGATTCTGGTAAAGCTGTTTGGTGAAAGGTTAGCAGAGTAGGGATTAAATCTCTGGTATATTTTATGAAAGAATAGGCTCCTGGGCTCCAATGAAGAGGCTGGGAAAATTTTGTTAAGGGTTAGAAGTAGGACATAAATGAACACCGCCCCCCCCCCCAAAAGTGGAGTCTTTGGGGCCAAGTGCCTTCAGCTAAAGGATGATAAAATGCTGCAAAATTTTTTCAAGTAGAGCCAAGGTCCAAATCCGCTTCAAGCAAGCAACTGGTTGATAAAAAATGCTGCTGTTTTCCTGGCTCCAGCTCTTCCCCTTTTGTTCTGAAAGCGGTCACTGCAGTGCAGACTGGCCTTCCCTTATTAGTAATTCATGCTATGTTTCTCTGGGATATGGGGTTGGAAGAATTAAAGCTGCTTAAAATTTTAAGTAGAAAAAAGGATCTCTCCAAAAAAATCAGAAACACACCACCCTATACTTGTCAGTTATTTAAATGTGCATTGCTTAAAGTGCTTTTTTTTTTTTTTTAAATCAGTGAATTAATTTCCTCCTAAGATTGCAATCCAAGTTTTAACCTTTGATACCATAAAATAAATGCAGGGAGGAACAATGAGACCTCAGGGCTTCCAAATAATTTCTTGGGTGAATAAATGAATAATGTGAGGGCAAATGTTCAGAAAAGGAAGTTTTGATTAGAGCTAAAGTATTTACTTAAAACCGTTACTGAATTTTCTGTAGAGCATAGGAAACTTCGTATTATTCTTGGAGTATTGGGGGACTACGAAGGTGGAAGGGAAGAGGAGCCCTGAAAATTTACATTTTCCTCATCCCTATGAATGGGGGAGAATTCGTTTGAGGATGACACTGTTAAATAATTTCCCTTGCAGAGAAATTGCATCTTTCAAACTGGAAAAAGAAAGGGTGAAATGTTAAAATAATGCCCCAAATATAATGCATTCCGTTCAAGTATTCCATTCATTTCAACTCAGCCAACATATTGAGCACCTACTAAGTGCCAAGCACTATTTTAGGCACTAGAGGTACAAGAACTGAAGACACAAGAGGGAGTGAGACTTACATGGAATACATCGTAATACAACAGGTATTAAGTACTGCGTACCAGTGTCATGGGCAGTGGAGAGAGAAAGCAGCTCAGTGGGGAGAAGGGAGGGCAGAGGAGCTTTCCTAGAAAGGGTGTTTTGCGTTGAGCATTAGGAATGATTTTTCAGGCAGACGGGATAGGGATGGTAAGATCCTTCCAGGGAGTAAGTAGAGCTTGATAGAAACAAAAAGAAAAGAAAATGTGCAGAATGTGCTTCTTGTTGTTGTTGTTATGTGCCGTCGAGTCGGCCCTGACTCATAGCGACCCCTCCTTGGGTTTCCGAGGCAGTATCACTACGGAAGTAGGATTGCCCAACCTTCCTTCCGAGGAGTGGCTGATGGGTTCCCATTAATCCCAGCTTTTGGGAATTTACAAAGTGTAGATAATAATCTTAAATTCTTTCCGGAATAAGGCAAGAAATATACTTTTAAAGACTTTTTTTTAAAACCACTTTATCTCAGTTTATCACTTCAATCCATATGCAATACATATTTGTTGGACACCAGTGGGGCACCCACCATGGTTTCTTCATAGCCTCACCTCTTTACCTAACACAAAACTTCTGGCTCCCCATCAGAAACCCTGTGAAGGCTGCTGACAGTGGAAACCTCCTTAACTCTCTTCCTAAGCCTTTGCAGAAATTGACTCTGATTGTAAGTCTGAAGTATGACAGAATGATGACAGGAGCACTCCTGGGGTAGGGACCTAAGGGAAGCGGTGCTGTAAAACCTTGTGTTCCAGAGCAAAGCCTGCCAGGAACTCTGGTGTGATTTCTGCGTCTTCACCCAGAACCTGGGGACTTCGGATCACGTGAATTCTAAATTCACTTCCTTGCACTAATATTTCATGATTCTGGAAATAATACAGAACACAACAAAGGTCCAGGCATCATGTTAGAAGCTAAGGATATGAAACTAAGGAAGAGAAGGCCTTTTTCCTGGAACTTGTGTCTGTATTTCAAGCTTGATGTTAATTGCAAACTCTGGAGGGTCAGACCCAGTTACCTCTTTCTTGGTTTGGTTTGGTTTTAACTGTAAATTACCTACTCATGCCCTTGTAGCAACACAAGTATATTCTTCACTGCCCTTCTTCTGCTCCAGGTACTGAGCTAAACGTGAATGCACCAAAAAACAAGACATGGCACCTTCTCTCAGGAAGTCAGCTTCCATCCAACTAAAGAAAACAACAAACCGAGTTGCTGTCAAGTCAACTTAGACCCGTGGCAACCCCGAGAGTGTCAGAGTAGAACTTGCTCCATATTGTTCTCACTGGCAGATTTCCCAGATGGGGATCACCAAGCTCCTCTGCCAGGCACTTCTGAGTAGATTCAACCCTCCAGTCTCTCAGCTAGCAGCCAAGCAGATTAACTGGACCACGCAGGGACTCCAGCGCCCATTTATGCTACCCGATTCCTTGGGAACAGTGTGACACTCACTCCCCACCCCTCAACAAGGCAGATACGCACTTTTTCAGCTCTACAAATGACTAAAGTACTCATTGTAAAGGACGGGGTCACTGCTTCTGTTTGGTACATTTTTCCTAAAAGCACGTCGATCTCTCTTTTACTTTATCACTAATCATCTCAATACTTGCACTACACTCAGAAAATTCTAGATACACAGGGAAACATCCAATAAAGTTTCCCCTCAGTTCATTTCAGACACTGGGGGGAATGAGGAAGTAAGGAAGAGCAGCAAGTGGAAAATAAGTTAATGCCGACCAGTCCTACCATGTGTTGTTGTTGTTGTTGTTATGTGCCGTTGAGTCGGACCTGACTTATAGAGACCCCTCCTTGGGTTTCTGAGGTGGTATCACTACGAAGTACATTGCCCAACCTTCCTTTATTCAGACTCCATTTTTATGATATTATTTCTATAGCATGTTGTAGTGGAAAGGACATTGAATTCAATCGCTGTGATCTTGAGTATGTT